CCTGCTAACTGCAATTTGCTGAAATAAGTTACTAGATTTGGCGAAGAGTTGCCCGTTTCACCTTTATACCACAGAAGCAATCACATAAGGAATAAAAAAGTAATGTCTGAAGAACTTCATGGGCAAAGTCTAGTGAAAATGAGCACACTCCATTGATTTATAGGAACAATTCCAGTTTTCAGAAGTTAAAGGCCTGAGCCTGAATGAGAAGCCAAACCTTTATCTTTTATTTCCTCTACTTATTCTAAGAGAACATCCAGTATACCTGTTAGCACCAGTTTTTTCTTTAAATAGCATTCCTACTGTATAATTGTCTTTGATACAGGTCTGCGGAGATGTCATAGTGCTTGCTCTACAGCATTTAGGCTGTGGGCTGTTATTTTTGTGCTGGTTATCACACTGCAGAAATCTGCCTAGCTGATAGTGGTGCCTGATTGTGGTAGGCATTATATGAGTATACATTGAGATGTTGTCTGTGCCACAGAGGGCTTACGGTCTGATTAGACAACATGTGGAGACAGAAGAAGAGTTTGCAGACTACCAGATGCCCTGGATAATGCACTAAAGCCAGGGACTGGACCCAGAAGCACCCACCCAGTCCACAGGACTTCCCTGCTGTAGGCTTTTAGTTCAACAAAAGTCACAGGAACAAAAATAGCCAATTTTGGGGGCTATTTTTCATTATCACTTTCCATGGGCTCTTAGGGAGTTTTCATTTAATCTGTGTGATATCAATAAGGACCTTCTAGAGTAACCCTGGTTCATCATGTATTATTATCACTGAGACAAAGATCAAAGTCTCTCTTGTGTGTGTAAATTTTCTGCTTTACTCCAGTTGGTTTTTGCTGTGTAGTGTAGGACAAGGAGATTTTTTTAGGCTTTTCCAGTGTCACAGTCCATCTCTGATTTTTGCACTGATGTTTGCTATCTTCTCTTTGCAGCACATGATTGCAGATACTGTTCGATCATTGAGACATTGCAGAAATAACCAGTTTGGTGAGTAGCCAAAATTTACTACTTATTTTACCTTTTTACAACCTTCAGGGATTTGTTTGTTTGATTTGTTGGGTGTTTTTTTAGATTTCTTTCCACTTAGATTTACTACAGCACCAAAACATTGTTGCCAATTATTTAACCAATTGCCAAGGGGGCTGTCATTGTTGGAAGGTCACCATAGCAGTAACCACAGCTGGATGAAGTTTTACTTTACAAAATGTTTGAAAAAACAGCTTTCAAAGGCTTTATAAATTATTTTCCTGCAAAAATTATCACCTCTTCAAAATGCTGTGTAAGATCTGTGCCAGCTGCACTTACTAATGGAGGCTTCTGATAGACACTGCTGTACCTCACTTTTCCAACTATAACCAAGTTACCTCAATCTCCTATCAGTCTGTGTGGTTTGGTGATGGAGTCACAGCTGTCTTGGCTTCCAGTAGTTAAAATATGATATTCATCACCACAGCTTTTCACTTGGCTTTTCACCAAAAGCAATTGTTTGCTTGGTTTGGGTTCTTAAAGGCATTTCACAAAACATCTTAAAGATACCAGGATCCTGTGGATTTCATGAGGGGATTGACTGGGTAGGAAAGAGGGGGTTGTGTTGATACCTCTTCCAGGGAAGCTTCTAAACAGAACTCTGCCTGGTTTAGACACTGGAGGATCCACGCTGATGGAAATGGTTATGAGTGCCTCAGCTGCGCAAAAGGTCCTTTTTTTTTTTTTTTTTTTTGTGTTTCCACCATAGCCACCAGAGAATCCAACCCAGATTGGCCAGAAGACCCCAGCTTTCTTTATTCTGCTGCTCACACTGGGGAAACCTCGTTTTTCTCCTTCTCAGCATTTCTCATTCTCTGCAAAGTGGTTAAGCACATGAAGGGCACAAACACAACACTACTTTAGGAAGTGGTTAGAGTTTTCAAGCCAAACACACTAAACATATCATTTATTGAGGCCACTAAAACCTTTTTTCCAAAGAGAAGTTCAGAACTGTGCTGTAACCTTGGGGAAAAAGAGTTTGAGTTGTTTATTTTTTCCCACTGAATTTTCAGCAGCTCTCTGCGTGGACTCTGACAAAAAGAAAAATAATAATAATTTTACGTATAAATACATGTGCCTTGGAGAATGATAGGAACCACTTAAGAGGTTTGCTGAACATTGGTTCTATAGAATTACCTTGTGTATGTACAGCTTTAATTTTATTTTTTTTTTAAACAAAGGCTGCTTTCTATTATGGTTCCTGTTTTATTTCCATATATGCATATAGAAATATATATATGGGAGAGGTGGGGCGAGGGAGGACATGCCTTTTGTTTTTATTCTGTTAAACGAGATATTAAAGGAAATATTGATTAATTCAAGCCGTGCCTCTGTAGATTAGAATTTCTTTTATTTGGCTTTATAAAATGTAGCATTGGTTCCTTTTTAATGATGTGATTTTAAAATTTTTTTTTGCAGCTTCTCTGCAAATCTTTCATCTCATTTTTACCCTTTTTTTCCAAGTGGTTTTGTAAGCATTGCAACATAAATCCAAGGTTAATACCTGAGATTTATCATATAATCTGGTAGTTTGAAGTACGTGATTGTTATTTTATTTTACCACAGACTTGATTTATTGTGAAGCTGGCATTTAAAAAGCAGCTTATACGGACATCCCTGTAGGCACTTTTTTTTTTCCTTAAATTCGTTTAGGCATGAAATGAATTCACTGAATATTTATTGAGACTTTATGGACAGTTTCCTTTTCTAGTGGGCTTATTTTGCTTTCAGGAATGTGAATCTTTCTACTGCATCAACTCCCAGATTGGCCTAAGAGCAGCAGGCATCTTACTGTAGGAAAGAATTAAAACAAAACTAAATAAGGAATATTGTTATTGTTTATGAACTGTATCATATGTATTAATCTTGCAGGCCAAAGTCTTTCTGAATTAGAAATTGATTAGGCACCAAGCAAGACTGAAATGCCTTTTTAATGAAAATAATACTTTTATGTCCTAAATACTGAAAACAAATAATAGCATTTCCAAAACCAGGCAAAGCAGCCTGAGAAAATAACATAATTCAAGCTGTTGCCATTTCAGGTGTTAATGAGAAATACAAATGTTCTGCGGTGCGTTCAGCATAGCTGCTAGGATCCTGTTCCCACGAAACAGAAAGGTCATCTCTGTATCCCAACACAAATTTATCACGTTGTCCTGTTCTCTCCCGCATTTCTTAAGTTAGATAGCTGCTCAGAAATAGCTCCTAAAAATACCTGCCTGGGACCCCATTCGCAGCCACATGCAGAGGTGGCTGCATTGGCATCCTGCGTTACCTACACAGCATCATAGTGTTCTTCGGAAACAAGCGGAATTGTCGATTCCTGGAAAGCTTCTCATGTAGCTGGAGAGCGTGGAGAAAAGGATGATAATGAAACAAAGGAGAGGGAGGGAGCGTGCCAGCTAAGCTGATTGGTTCAGGGAATTTTGAGGGGTTTTCTTTTTTTAATTCATGGTAATGTTATTAAAAATTCCTTGAGGACATGGACTACGATGGAGCTCTCCAAGCTTCGCTTGTTTGTCAGCAGTCAGCAATGAGTGGGAAATGTGTCTCGTTGCTTTCTCTGCCTGTCTTAATGGGTGCCTTGGCCCTAGGCTTAGCTTTTCCTTTTTCATGGTCACCAGCCATGCTGGAGGGTGTCGCAGGCGATGCGTTCCCACAAGCTGATGTCGGGCATAAAGCTTGTAACAGAAAACATCTGCTGTTCAAACCACCCTTCAATTTGTCTGTTAGGCAGCTAATTCCTCTTGCCGTGTAACCTCCCATGAAACGACAGCATGACTCTCGTCTCTGTTACTAGATCAGAAATCAAAAGCGGAACAGATCAAAACACAGGGGCCTGTCAGAGCAGCTTTGAAGAGCTTTCGTACCCGTCTGCTGTGCTGTCACCTTTCACCTGATCCAAAGGAAATTATCAGGGGGCTGCTGTCTTGTGTACTTGTGTTAGGGTTGTTTTAAAGGTACAGGCTGGGTCATCCACCCCTTGCTCAAGGTCCTGTTGTGCTGCCAGAGCAGCTCAAAGAAAACCTTGAACCACCCTACAGGGAACAGGCTGCCAGCAAGAGTGAATCTTCCACTTGGGAAGAGTCAGCTTCTTGCCGCCCACTTGTCCCTCCATTGCCTACTTCTCTCATTTTTCTTCCCTTTTCTGTATCTAGCTGTTACCTCATCCATTGCACTTAAACAGGAAGTTATTTGGATCTCTAGCCGCCTTTTTTGTGACTCTAGCACCTGGCAGGCTGGAACACCAGGGACTTCGTAATGCACAGGACAAAGCAGGCAGAGTGTGGCTTTCTGATCCATCCCCTTTTTCCTGTCTTGCAGGCAATGAAGTTCCTTCGAAAGAGCATCATGAGCTGAAGCCATACGTCCATCATCTGCATGTCATCGACAACCAGCAAGCTCTGTTTGAGCTTTCTCACAGGATAGAGCCGCGAGTGTGAGCGTCCGCAGCTTCGTATAACCTTGTAACTCCAGCACTTTGAATTAAGTGAATGTTTTTGCCAAGCATGTTGCTTCCCTATATAAGAACAGTTTACTGAGTTTTATCAGTAACTCACACAACGTGCACAGGAAAATCAGGCAAGAGCCAGCAAAGGAGCTGCTCACAGAGTTGCAGGGCAAGCTTGGTGCCATCTCCACTGGTCAGCGGGACATGAGGGAGTGGAGCAGCGTTCTTTGAGCTCAGGAGCTTGGTTTCTGTGAAAATATTGTTTGGTCCAGTGTAGCTTTCAATGCAGATTCTGCCAGTATTAGAATGAGAGGAATCGTCGTGTCACAGCAGCAAAACATTTCAGCAAGCAACATGCTGCAAAGGGATGGATTCTCAGTTCCCCACGATATGTACCTCACTAATTCAAGGCTGCCAAAGTATTGTTGCCAAAAAATACTGTGCAATACGTGCAGCTCCCCTGAGTCCACTGGAGCATCTTATTTAAGTGCTAACAACCAAGAATGGGAATATAAAAAAACTGTGCACCAGCTGAAACTCAAGAGTGTATCATGTTGTGGAGATCGGCAGTAAACTGTTATGGCCCCTTAAGAATCTACTTTATAAAACACACTGTAAGAGCCAATCCACTTTTGTTGCAATTTATGGACATGATTATTTGTACACTGAAAACATGTTATTTCCTTCCTTTTCGGTTATTTCAGATTTAGCACTGGCTCCTGCAGTTAACGTGTTATAAATTATTATAGCAGGATCTTTGCTTTCTGCTTAGATTACAGCCTCCTTGGTGTCTATTCGGAGGCAAAGTCTAGATGAGCCCATATTCCTAACTCACCTCCTGGAAATACCATTTTGGCAGGTTAAACTTCACCTGACTTGCACATGCTTCTGGTTTTTAAAGAACAGAAGGGTACACCTTACAGGGTACCAGTGTAATTACCTGCACACACACTGGGCTCTCATATCAGGGTCCCTTTGCTACTTCTGTCCCTCTCATACCCCTCCCCATGCCAATTCTCATGTAGCTAAAAGTATTACGTTGAGGCATGTACTGAGGCATAATTTCTGAAGTCTCATCTACAGCTGACCTACATCTAAATGCCATCATCGCTGTAGCTCTGGTTTTCAGTGCTAAGCATTTGCCCTGAAATAATCTAGCGAATGCCACAGTCTGGCCCGGGTTTGTACATTGACTCATGGTAACAGTCCCGTTGCAGAGCAGGGAGGATACATTGCGTTGCTTGCCCATCCCTATCATATGTTTTCCATGTCAGGAAGACTTCCAAGAAAATGCTCCTTTTACTGAAATGTGGGATAGTGAAGTAGCATGCTCTTCATCATTGTGTTCTCTCTGGTTTAAAGGGATTAAAAAAAAAAAAAGCAGCTTTAACAAGTAGTCTGTGGGGGAATCTAGAATGCATTCAGTTTTCCCATCTGTGAAATATTGTATAGATCTATTGTAAAGGAAACAGATGTTTCAGAAAGGTATTTGCTTGTACTTTGTTATTATCAAATATTATATGATTTTTTTTTTTTTAGGAAAAAAATCTTTTTACCCAGTAAAAAGACAAAAAATAAACTCTTGCTGGCCATGGAGTAAAAATTTCCTATGTTCTGTAGATGTGACTGCACATATTGTAAATAACTCTTTTGTGCAAACAGACCAAAACTGTTCAGATGAGGATACTAGCTGTGGTGGGCTCCTTTTTGCAGTGTAAGAACACAAACCAGATACAATTTGCTGCTTGTGATGCTGCAGTTCTTCCTCTGGCTACAGCACTTCCCAAATCTGCACCGTATCTGCATTACCTGGGTGGTTTGCTGGGTTTTGAGCTCCCCCTGGTGAAATCTGTTTTACTGTGGCATTATTTTTAGGAGTCTGTATGTAGACCAGCCTGCATGCTTTTGCTTATGTGGTGTAACACTCTAGTCTCCAAGTTGTTCTGTTGAAATCTGTGGGAGAGGGAGCATGAGGAGGTTTTTCAGGGTGAGAAAGTGAGGCTTTTTCTCAGTTCACCACGTTTGGCCCTGTAATAGTTTTAGTAGTTACTGCTGATGAAGCAGCAGTGGTACCAGAGAAGAATGAAAGACAAGGAAATTAAAGGAGAGGGGGGAAAAGAATGAAGAAAGATGACTGTGCTTGGGGTTTGATTTGAAAGCCTGCTAGAGCCACCTAGGAGGCTCCTCAGTCTACTCGTTCAAAATAATTGAAGCAGATGGATGGGTTAACTTGTACCAGTAGGCCTCAAGCCAGCGGAGGTGTTTGCTATCAGCACCACTGTAACATTATACATCAAGTATTGTCTACCCCTTGCAGCTGGCATAAAATCAGTTTGAAGGCACATAGGCAGCAGCTCTTAATGATTAATCTTGTTAACTATGTCATGGCTAATTAGACTACTTTTTAAAACTTTACAAACTAGTTTTCGTAGTAACCTGTATAACTTGGATATAAATTTCTGGTCTGAGAGGCCTATATGGATGCATCAATTCCACACTGAAAATATGGACCTTTTGAACTGAGTAACATAAAGGAAACATAAACATAAGGGAAAGACAGATAGCCCCAATCTGTAGGTAAAATGTCTAATAAAAAGAAATGCCCTGCAGAGTCTTCTTTCAACAGGTGAAGTATTGCAGAGCTGGACTGCAGACTGGCAAGCAGATTGAAGGTGTGATGGTTGGGAGAACTAGAAGTAAACCCTGTGAAAGGGAAGGGGGATGCTATACAGCCTCTGCCAGGGTCCAGCACTGGTGATATTGTGTGATATTTTCCAAATCCTTCAATAGTGCATAATTACATAGGACTAAATCCATGAATTTTGTAAGTTCAGTTCATCACAGTCACAGCTGGCATTAAATACTCTGCATATTTTTTTTAGTAGCTCGGAGTAATTGAACAGAACAAAGGAAAAAGCTGGGTCACTTTATATCTCTTTTATGTGGGATTTTGTTGCATCAAGTTTAGATGTTTCTGTGACACAGCTTTTTGATTCTAGCCCCTTTTCAGATAGAAATAAATTGCATTTGCATGACAGTGGCAAAAAAAAAGGTGTTATCAGAAATAATAAAATGTGCTGCTGTAAAATTAAAAAGAAATATGTAAATACTAAACATTTTAGCAGAGTACTATTTATTTGCATAGCCTATTTATTGTCATCTTACACACTGTTAAATACTGGGATGAAGTCAGTGAGCTGAGGTAAGAACACCTGCCATTCTCTCTGAGTGCTGTAATGCTGTCAGCTTGCATTAAAAGTAATAAAACAGAAAACCCCAAATCGAGGTATTTACCTAACTTCTCAGGGACTACAGCTAGTAGTTATCCACCATTATGAGACCTGGTATATATGAAATAATCTGATTTACCAGAATCAATGTTGCCAATGTTTTTCTTTTCATATTTCATGCTTGTCTGCCTCTGTACATATTATCGTGTCGTGTATTTATGAGAGCTAGTAAGCAATAATTTATATGTCAAAATGGCCAGGCAATACAAGGTTAAATCTTCTAGAAGCAACTGTTACATTTATCTTGCATTTTCCAGTGTTTTTTAATATTGCTTTTAAAAATATAAAAACTACCTTAATGAAGTCTGGGCTCTGTGCCTTCATGCCTCTCACACGTACTTACTGTTCCTAACTGGAATATTTTACTTCCAGTCATTCAGTTCCACAAACCCTCACTGTGTTTGTGAGGTGAATGCAAACCCATGAGGAGGCTCAGGAGCCTGACCCTGTTCAGAGCTGCTCATCCGTCTCTGGGCAGTGGGACTTGCTGGTACCGATGTTTCAGAAGTAGGGATGATGTTAATGGGGTCTCAGCTGTGCCTTATCATCACGGCACAGTCTGAGAGGGGCCTGGAGCTACGGTGAGAAGTCCCTGTGGGAGAGGGGGGGAGTAAATCTATATTCATGTCCTCTGGAGTCTGCTTATTGGCACTTGATCCTCTTACTGAAGACAGCAAATGCTTTTCCCTGTCATCAGGCATCCCTGCCGGTGCGGTTTCCTCTCTTTTCCTCCTCTCAGCTGTTCTGCAGTGGGGAAGGCAGGACCCACGATGGGCTGTGAGTGCTCTGTAATGCAGCTGAGGCTTGTCCTGTCCTTCCACCCTTTCCACTTGCAAACCCTGGGAACCACTAAGCCAAACCTGGCTATTTCACACAGAAATAACACTTGGTACTTACAGTGCAACAGCTGTTCAAAGTCCTTTACAAATAGACAGTACTTAATCCTCTTGAGTACCTGTACCTTAAATGGTCTTAAGCCTGGCCTACAAAGTGTTTGTGACAGTATTAATATACAGGTAGGGAGAATTTTAACTGGAATAATTAAAACAATACAAACCCAAATTGATGCCACAGTTCTATAATGATGCTTAAAATTTTGCAGCCAGGCATATTTTTTCCAGATCTAGCTGTGCAAGCTGAAAAATGTACGTTCTGAGCTGTTTGTCACTGACCTTTCATTGGACATCATTGTTGCCACAGGGTAGACCAAAAGGGGACCTGGGGAGTATCTGTTTAACCTGTTGATTAACCTGTTGTGGTTAATCAGATGAATTACTTCAAGCCGCATGTGGCTTCATGCAAGCAGCCAATTTTGCGTGGAAGGGCTCTCCTTCCATCCATCAGCCTTTCTGGAAGGTTGTCACAAGAAGCTAGAGTGACAATTTGCAAATGGGAAAGTGCAGAGCTGAGGATAGCTGACTTACAGCTCCAACTGTGCTAGAAGAACAACAAGAGGTGGCTGCACTTCAGATGTCCCTTCAGACCACCTTGCTGAACTATTCAGACAAGGGCTCTTCTGTTCCTCTCTGAAGGAGCTTTATTGGAAAAGACCTGCAATTTAAGCTGCTCAGTGGACTCCATGAATTTTGGCTGAAGTGTTTAGAGATGCCTATGATGAGCAACTCATCATGTGAAGGTGAGAGGCAGCAGGTGGGGCAGCTTGCTTTGGTGCCAGCACAGATTAGGGCTGACCTGCATAGGGACAACTGCTCTACCCTTTGTAGAGGTGATTCCCTCTTCTCATATAAAAAAAAAAACAACAGCCTGAATAAAACCCAAAACCCTTATGAATATTTTCTGCATTATGCATCCCAGTGGGCTTTCAGGCCCCACAGAGCATCTGCCCTGGAGTCCTGCTCTTTCCTGCCATGGGAGTGGCAGCTGAGTTGCACTCAGAGGAAAACCCAAAGAAGGTAAGGCTTCCTCTAGCTCTAAGCACTGTCTAGCTCTACACTGCAATGACCACCATTTCACACTGGGGAGTTGTGTGACAGCACCCTATGTCCATGGCTACAATAATACACACCTGTAGCTATGTCAGAGTTAAAAAAATCATGCCGTTCATACAAAACTTGGAGAACTGAAGAGGCCTGCAGATGAACAATTTTTGAAGCAGGGAGAAGAGTGTTTTCCTCTGCATTCCCTCTTCTCTGGAAGAAGGTCAGTGGGTTTTGTAAGACCCTTGAAAAGATCCAGAAAGCCTAGCAAAAGTGAGCTTGAGCCTCAGAGCCTTTCAGAGGTCAAGGAATGGCAATGTCTGCACATTTGCTTCTAATTTTTACTGCCCATTGCAGTGGGTAATTTTCTGGCAAGCAGTTGCAGCTGTTTGTCTCCCAGGTGGTTTGTACTGCTACTTATTTGTAAAG